GATATGTTGAATATATGCACATGAGCTCCTGTATGTATGAGGAGCATCTGGCACATAGAATGTTACACCTGGGCCTGGGGGTATATCAGTAGAATAGCACCTCCCTGGTATGTGCCTGGCCTCAAGTTCAATCCCTCACCAAAAAGTTTACTTATTAGTAAATTATTGTATCTGATTTTTAATTAAAATTCACCACAGTAACAGAGAAAGTACATTAAATATTGCAGAGCACATGGGGTGGGATGGTACTCTCAAGTTACATGTTTCTAAGAGCTCTAAAAATACATTTTTTAAACATTCATTAGATGAAAGGCTCTTTCTATCGATTTGTAGCACAATCTCAATGTTTCCTAAAGGTCTTTCCATAAATTGGTCTGGAAGTAGCTATGTTGGTCCTGTCAGGTCTATGCATAGTCACGCTCTCTAGGAGTACAAGTTATAACTGCCTTGTGAAAACATCCTAAGTTCAGGAGACATTTGGAAGAAATTCTCAGCCAGTAATAACAGGAAAAGACACAATTTCATACTGCCAAATTCTCACATAGTAAAATACATTCTCTTTGACAGTTAGTGATGATACTATTAGAGTCAGACAGGGACATAATTACTCCTCAGATTTCAGGAAAGCATATAAGTCATTCAGTGGTTATTTGAGGAGTACCTCATTTCATAAGGTGCAAGGCTGACACAGCAGTGAGTAGTAACTTCATTAAAAGGAGTGGTATTTAGTAACAAGGCAAAAAAGAACAGGAGTAAAATACACCCCAGGGCAGCGATATGTGCCATAGGTGAGATACAAATGGAAAATGTGGGACTTCCAAGAAAGCAAAAATCCTCTGGGTAGGAGCTACAATATGATGAAAACTGGGGGCTGGTAGAGGAATGGAGGCATCTGTGACAGAGAGACAGTTGAGAAAGTTGGGAGGAATTATAGCAAATAGTTCACTCACTATCCATGTAAGAGGACAGTGAAAGTTCAGGCTGCAGAGTAAAACTAGAGATACATGATTGGCCAGGTGTTAGATTATTGTCTGCACATAATTTCATGGGCAGCTAATGACAACTTCTAAAATAGGGTGGGGTCCTGCTTAGGAGTATGGTTCTGGCAAACAGATAAAGCAGTTTCAAAGGAAAGCAATTAAGGAGACCAAGAGGAGAGGTCAGCAAGCGTCTAGACTAGGGGTGATCAATACCTGATCTAGGGTAATGGTGAAGGAGCCAGAGGAGAGGGAACAGATGGGAGAGCTACCGGGTAAAAAGTATGTATAGTTAGAAATACAGCAAGCACTCTCTAGGCATGTGCAGCTACTTAAATCAAAACCTAATTAAAATTAAATAAGATGTAAAATTCAGCCCCTCAGTCACAAGACCACTTGTGGATTATGCAGATAGAGAATGTTTCTAGGCCACATATGAGGACCCAAGCCTATAATCCCAGCACTTGGGAGGCTGAGGCAAGAGGACTGCCAAAGTTTGAGGCCAGCCTGGATTTCATAATGCGTACCAAGCTAGTCAGGGCTGCAAAACAATATCCTGTCTCAAAAATAAATAAATAAAAATAACATTTCCATTATGGCAAAGTATTCATTTCCATCTCAGAATGCTCTATTGGACAGTGCAGATTGCTATACTTGGAAGACTAAATGGGCATAGCAATAAGGGCTTAAAGGATACCAGGGCTAGGTAGCTTGGTGGCTGAAGGTTGGTGGCATGAGTAGCAAAGGGAAAGTCGGGAGGAGGAGGACTTGGACCTAGTAGATGTTTCACTTCTTTCACACCCAAGGGAAAATAAAGTACCTCCATAAGTGATCATGTGTTTATGGTGTGAGGAATGCACTGTGCCTGCTGGGTCTCCCACAGCTTGAACAGGAGTGCCAGTGCTGTATCTAACAGGCTTATGCTCTCCTGTGCTAACTTTCTCCCTGGATTGTGGAACTCTCTGAAAGTTATGAGTGTGAGGTCAATTCCTCAGCATCTACCAGACTATTGGCTTATGGCTTTATATACATTGTAATGAGGGCAGGAGCCCGAAGGCTGTGCTGTTTCCGGAACTTCTGTGTGCCAGCCTGAACCCTTTTATCCACACAGACACTTCACACTTCCTCTCCCCTGACCACTCACTTCCTTCTGCTTGATCCTTGGAAAGTCCCCTTGCCCTCACTTATTTGATTGTTTCCTCTGGAAACATACCTTCCCACACAGGGGTCACTTCTTTTTACGTACTGTCTTTTCTTTTCCGGGTTAAACTCTACGGTCCATCACTCCCTTCTCTCCTACTAACTTTCACCAGCAAACTCCCAAGCAGTGGAGCATGGGTGGAAGAGAATCACACACTTTGCTGAGTGGTCTCACTTTAGACATATGACTTCCAACTTCACAGGGACACTAAAAGAAAATACACAGACTGGATCTTACCGCATCCATCCATGCAGGCAGCCAGCACATACATCACTTCATGCAAACTGGGGAAAGGTATATAACGCAGGAGGGTGTGTGCTTAAGTGTGTGTATTGTGTGCAGGACTCACAAAAGGTACCATTCAAAAACAGCAATTAGAAAAGTGCCCTCTCTGAAAGACTGAAGTTGTTTCATCGGGTACTCAGCCTAGAGGCCAAAATAAAGGCTAGATTTTAGCTCTGCAGTGGCCTGAGCATGCTGCCACCAACTATACTTCCACATTCACCCAAAGCTGCACCAAAGTTCTATGTCTTCTCTTCAAAAGCAGTGTTTGACTGCACTGCCATCACCACTGTGTTAGGACCCATTGGTTCTTGCCGCCCATCTTTCTCTAGTCATCTCCTCTTGTATGATGGTCAACCTCACCTCTCTAAAGATCATCCTAGCACCACCACCAGGAGGAAGCATCTCCACCTTAAGTACCCTCCCTGGATCCCCACATGGTTCTCACTACTGGTTGCTATGCTCAGCAAGCACTGCCTGGGCTTTTTCTTACTTGCCTCTCATTCTCTCAACACACCTTAATCAGACACTGTTTCCCCTTTATGATAACACTGAAAGTGTTTTCATCAAGGTCCTCAATAACCTTCATCAAGCCAAATTCAGTATTTATGTTCTCAGTGCTTGGCCAGGGATGTCGCTGAGTGGTAGAGAGCTTGTCTAGCATGTGCAAAGGAGAGAAAAGGAGGGAGGGAGGGAG